GTTAAAGGGAAGCTAAGGAACAAGTTGAAGAAATCAAGAAAGATATGAATAATCAACTAGCAGAGATGAATAAACAATGGGAAGAAAAATTTCGAATGATACTTGCAGCATAAGGTCTACAACAAATTGATACAGATCTAACGGTAAGTAACTTATTAGACTTTTATTACTATCTTTTTATATTAGTAATTTAGTATATATGTGATTTCTTTTAGGTAATATTCATATTAAAAATAAAATTTAATTTTTTATATAGAAAATACTTCATTGAATCATTTAGTTATTTGCTTTTTTTTTTCTATTGTTATTGCAGCCTGTGGAGGAGTTATAAAAGCATCAAGGTCGACGGGCACATGAATAATGTTTTTCCTCTTGTTAAAACTTATTGATATGTTTCAAACGATGTTCTAATATTTGGAATGATATTGTTGAACCTTTGTTAAATTTTGTTTATTAATATATTGTGTTTATTACGTAATTGAAGATCTTATGCTACAGTTGCCTATGTGTTTCACTATCAAAATTTGATTGTATTTCTAAATAGGCTTTATATGAATTATTGTGGCTAATAATGCTTGTGGCAATTTTTTAATTAGTAGCAATAAATTTTTAAATTTGTAGCTAAACATATATATTGCCACATAATAAAAACGTAGCTATATATTTTTATTTCCATAGCAAAAATGAAGAAAATTTATTGCTACGATTTTATGCTTCATGGCAAAAGAGAATGGAATATTAGCTATGAGTTTTTCAATTTGTAGCTAAACACATACTTCTACAATAGCCACGTATCAAGAATATGGCTACTCATTTTCACTTTCCGTAGCAAATGATGAAAATCATTTGCTATAGTTCTACATATTTCATGGCTAAAAGTATGGAATATTAGCTACAATATGAAAAGGTTTATGGCAAATACTTCAATTCATAGCTACGGAGTTTTTAAATTGTAGCTAAACATGAGTATTATTGCCACGAGACTAAGCTCTAGAAATAGCCACAAAATTTGAGTTTGCATAGCAAATAAATTAAATCTTTTGCTACAACACAACATTTTGTGGCTACAATATGAAGATAACTACAAATTTGTTCGTCGTGGCAAAAGAATAAAATCACTTGCTATAAGTATATTTTTTGTAGCAAAAACCTTTTACCATCATCGCTACAACATAAAAAATTTCCGTGGCAATAAGTATTAGTCCTTAGCCACGGATCATATAAAGTCTGTAGCTGACTTTTATCTACGCATGCTAAAGAAAAAAATATTGTAGCTAAAGTGTTTTGCCACGAAAATTTTCATATTTAGCTACAGTGCTTTTCATAGCTATAGATGCGTAATGTTGTAGTGATAAACAACTGTAGACACACGAAAAAACACTACTGGAATATACGTTGATTTATTTGCTTTCTGATTATATTATTCAAAAATCTCTTTCTTATATACTTTTTTCTGATTATCAGTAACCCGAGTTCTTCTAAATTCAAGCTTTGACCTAAAATCTAATTTTTGGTTAAACAAGAATACAATTACCTAGTTAACAACAATTGGCACAACTTGTTGTTAGTTGTCGTATTGAAATGGTGTAACTTTTCCACTTCTAACTTAAATAATTAAGTGGCTTAAAAAGTAAAACAAAAAGGGCGTATTCAAATTATAGTGAAGCTTTCATACAAGAACTTAAATCTCCGAACGGGCTGCCACATAAGCGATGGTTGGTGGGGGCTGATGACCATTGTATAACGTCTGTAACTTTTGCTTCACTTCTATACTAAATTTGAGAAAAACCTCAGTTTAACTCTGATTCATGAGCAAAGAAAACTATAGGGAAGGATCTTTAATTATATGAAATGGCGTTTTCTCCTCAACCATAGGCGGAGAACAGGCCCTTTTAACAGCTAAAGTGAAGGGTTGGATATTACCTAATCGGCACGCACAAGCACTTGTGATTATTTATGTTAACATTATGTAGGTACACTTAGCCGGTAACCATGTTAACATACACCTTTTTCTTTTTACATATTTAATAAGTCAATTATGTAATACCAGCAACATATCATAGAGATGGGGATTTAACAGTTAAACTCGATGACTTCAACCTCTAAAATTCTTAATATCGAACTCATTATACTCTTAAAATGATGGATTCAGACCTTCTATACTTGTTGCAAGTTGAATGAATCTTTTAATATAAGTTTATGCATATATAATGGATTCAAACCATCTACTTGTTTCAATTTGAATGAATCTTTTAATATAAATTTATGCATATTTCTGCATCGAAAATACTAGGTTCAGCCCAGTGCAGCAATGTTGCATCCTCCTCTGCCTTCAAATCACATTCAAATTCATATATAACACCTAATTTAACATATTGTAGCAGGTTATTGCTCTATTTCTTCAGATTACCATACTCATGTCGAAGAATTACTCATTGTATATTAATTTATGCTGATGGTGTAAAACTAATGTGCATTATACTCTTACTTAGGAATAATATAAATAACTAATGAACTGCTTTAGGGGAGTAGTTAATGCAATTCCTGTTGGAAGATAAGGTTGTGGGACAGTCTTCCACAAAAACAAAGCCAGGTTTGTGAGCTTAATGATCAAGGATTAACCCACGCCGAACCATTAACGGCCGCCACGTAAGTAAGTAACCCCAAAATACAGCCATCATTCCGTTACAACGGGACCCACTCTCCACCGTTACGGGCACGGACCCCTTAGCTCACACATTGGCTGAGCTAAAGCTGTTTCTGCCTCGCTGGATTATTTTTATTTACAATTTTAATTTTCAAGTTTTTTTTTTTTTTTTTTATAAAGAAAAGTTATTTTTTTTCGGAGAAGAGTCTCTTTCAAAATGTATTGGGTCGGTCTGTAGGGTATGGTCCTTGGGGAAAAAGAAATGTTATTAAATTGTAGACCCAACCAACCAGAGGACGCGTGAAGTTGCATTTTATTTCACGTTTTTGCATTTTATAATGTTAAACCTTACGAAAGCTTTCTTTCGTTTTCATAGTAGTAACTTTTTGCAGTACTCTTTATATATATATAGATTTTCTTATAAGTTTAATATATGGCGTTTAATTACTATTGCGCAGAAAAAGTCAAGAGTATTGTAATTCAGAAAGGGGCTTGAGCTCAGTTCACTTTTTGGTTGTGTTTGCACTGAAGGATGAACAATATAGAGCCCGTAATGGGAGACCATTGCAAAAGCTAACCTTTTTCTAATATATTTCAATTTTCATTTGAATGTCTGGGTACTCGTTTTTGGGTCTAACTAATTCAAATTCGCTTTTCATAAGGTTCATAAATGGAATAAAACCTTTTTACCGGGATTTTTATCATTCTCAAAACTCGATCTGAAATCTCTAATTAATAGTTGATGAATTTATCTATCCCACCATAACACATGGTCATCAGTTTTCTTTTTTATTAATATAGGAAAGTTATATTATAATTTTGATGGTTAGCTTTCAGTTGTATGCACAACTAACCTTAAACCTTAAACGCGGCTGTTTGTTTCAGAAAGGAGGAAATTGGTTAAATAAAAAATACAAGAAAAATGTGTCGATTCTAATGGGTGACAATTAAAAATCATACCAGAAAGGCATGAAAAAAATAAACTAAATTTAAAATCATACACAAGATAATATCTTTTTTTATTCCCTTCCAACTATTACAGTTCACAAAAGTACAAGAGACTCCAATGCCATCACCAATTTGGTCGCGTATTAAAAATTGGAGTTATTACATCGGATCATACATGTATAACATTCGATTCTCATTCTCATATCCAGCCCTCCACTCAAAAAGATTTAAGATTTTAAAAAGTATTTGATTAGTTTATAGTATTAAATACTAATCCCGCTAAATTCGTAGGGAAGATAAAAACTTTAACCAGGAGATAAAAAAAGTGGTAGAATACTACACCTGGAATTCAAACTTAGGACTTAAATAATTTTTGTGTCAACTTTATCATTACACTATATGCAAAGGAAATCCAACAATTTAATTACATACATAGAGCATGTTCTTAACCTCTCTATATGTGTATAAGTTAAGGAAATATAATTAGACTCTAGCCTTTGATCCATGCAGACTCACGCGATAATGCTGTAAATTAGGTTTTTTTTGAACCCTAATTGACTTTCAGCGGTGGTTCTTTAATAGCTTCCAGAATTAAGCATGATTTATCCACGGAAAACCAATCAGGAATGTGTTAAAAGCAGTAAATCTGATGGAGGAAATAGAGACACAATTATAAATACTGAGGGTGTTTGGTACGACGTAAAATATTTCTCGAAAAATGTTTTCCCAAAAAGACTTTGTCTCATTCAGTACTCTTGAAAACTCAGAAATATTTCAAATGAGTTAACAGAGAAAAACATACACAAAGAAAATCTATTTTCTCCTTTTAATAAGATAAAAAATTTACCCTGTCTAGTAGGACTCTGGCAGCACAATCGTTGTAGTAGTGATTGGAGGTAACTTTGTAGTTGCTGCAGAGTGGAGATGTTACTCTGTAGTTTATAATTTTCTTGTACAGATTGCCATTGGTAATAAAAACTTTTATTTACCAAAAAAAAAAAAAGAAATATTTTTCGAGAAAAATATATGTATTTTCTGTTTGATTGTCTGGAATTGACTTATTTCTTCGTACTAAAAACACCCTAAGTGCGTTGAGACTCCAAGTGGTCAAATTATTCTCTTCCTATATATTTTTGACAAAGAAAAAAAAATTAGAGGAAATAATCAGTAAAATGTTAGTAGTAACTTTTTTTTTGGTTAGAAGTGTTTCTTCTTCCTCTTCAACCCCTTACAATTATGGGGTAAATAGTGTACATATTTGATTAAATGATTATGTCACCAACAACACTATTTTATAACCTAACAAATAATATAAACAAATACATCCTCTTTTTGGTCGGGTGTGTTGTCTTATGGTCTATGGAGTCTGCCCTTTAATAAGGCTTAGCAAATATGCCCTCATCTTTCTGACGTTCTCTCTCTCTCTCTCTCAATTTAGCTCTTTGATCAAAGAAAACATACAAAAAGAGTGAAAGTACAATTTTTACAAAAAAATATATTTTTGTCTCAATCAAGAACTGGTGGTGGAGAAACCTGTGTGCTTCAGCCTCAGCCACCATTTTTTCCGCCTCCCAAATCTTTTTGCAATAATCTTAGCTTTCTCTTCAAGAGATAAGGTGATAGAAAATATATAGTAGTAGTTGCTTTTATATATAGAAGAAAAGAAAGAAAAGAAAAATGATTTATGATATATAGAACCTTTACATTCTCGTTTGCATATTTTTCAGTCATTCTTTTGAAACCCTATTGTTTCTAGCTCATCTTTTTCTTTCCTCTTCAGGAATAAAAAGGTGTTTGTTTTTCATCCCCTTTTTCATCTGCTCTTACTTTCCTTTGGGATCTGATCATTTTATGAGGACCATTATAAGGTTTTATGAGAGTTAGAGTTATTCAATTCCCGAGGTATAAAGATATAAAAACCTCTCAAACATTTGCTTCTCTTTTTGTCTGCTTCAATGTATTTATTCAAAAGTTTAAAGAGAGAGTGAGAGGCAGAAACAACCATTTTCCTTTATAGTAACTTTGATTATATTGATCTGAAATCTGAATAGAAGAGTTGAAAGAATCAGATCAAGGGAAGAACAACTCTAGAGGATCATTATAAAGGTTGTCTATTTATCTTCTCATTTTCTTCTTCTTTGATCACTTTTTTCATGGTCTTGTAATTGTGTCTCAAAAATATTTAAAACTTCTTGTTTTCTATTCACTACCTAGATCTTATTTATCCCTCCTTCTTATTCTTTTTTGCAATTTTAAATTTCTAAAAAAGTGTTAAAAAATTTAGGATAGATGTTGTGCTGGGATATTTAGGTGCATGCTTTTGAATAATTAGCACTATTTTGATGCTAATAAATCTCTTATTGTTGCACTTCTTTGAGAATGTGTGTTTTTTACGTTCGTTATAGTTGAACAAAGTAAAGGTATTTTTTTTTAGTTTGATTACACGGTATTTTACTTTATGAGTGGAGGAAACAATTATACTTATTGTACTTGTTTCATTCAGGGTTCATGCCTCAGGCTAAAGCAAACTTGAGTAGTTTTAGCCACATCCATCTTCAAGTGATTAGAGCTCTCATGCTTTTATCCCCACAAAAGTTGACAAAACAAAACTCCTCGACATACATCATTTACTTTAGTGTTTATTTTCAACATACGTGTTTTCTTACTAATTTACGTAGGAAAACTTTTTTTTGCTTTGTTTTTTCTTCATTTGTGTTTTTTCAATTTGGATTTTTACTGTCATTGATTTATGGTGATTTATAAGTATAGTTAAATTTGTTTTTACTTTTTGTATTTTTAGGGCTTGATATCCGGTGTTAAATAGGAAACTCAATGTAGATATATTATGGGAGTCATCTTTAAGTTTTCTACGGTTTATCACCATTGAATATCTTTTTTTTTCACCTGTTACTAGCTAGTTTAAGGCAAGAATGCATATCTATATGACAAGACTACGATACTAAAAAACCCCTTAATTAAATTATCATATTATTCCACTTTGATAATAAAGCATACGTTAGTTTCTTTTGAATTTATAGTTTGGTCTAAAATATGTGGAAAAAGATAATTTTAGTATCCCCTTTATCCAATCATATGTTTTCTCAGTATTTGGGTTCCTCAAATTCTTTTTTCTTCTCCTGCTGCTCTTGTTTTTAACTTATTTTTTTATCTTTATGGAGTACAATAAAATACTATGCATGGAACTATTGTAACATTATAAAACTTAAATAATATATCGAAATTCATTTTTGAAAATTTCAAACTTAGGCTTGAATACTTCTAGGAAAATCCTTATCTATGTGCATTTGCTATAGAATCCTACGCATAAAACTGTTTAATTTTAATTTAATCAACAATTCTCCTAGCTAAAATTGAAGAAGAAAACAAATTAATTAACTGCACAAAAGCTTAAAAAGTACTAACTCATGAAGTATATGTATATATATATATATATAT